GACTTTTTATGATGGCCACTGTTGCAGGAGTAAGATGGTATTGCAGTGTGGTTTTGATTTGCATTTCCCTGATAGTGATGTTGAGCATTTTTCCATATGCTTGTTGGCCATTTGTATACCTTCCTTTGTTAACTGTCTTTTCATGTTCTTAGCCCACTTTTTGATGGGATTATTTTTTTCTTGCTGATTTGTTTGAGTTCTTTGTACATTCTGGATATTAGCTGTTTGTCAGATGAATACATTGTGAAGATTTTCTCCCACTGTGTGGGTTGTCTGTTAACTTTGCTGATTATTTCTTTTGCTGTGCAGAAGCTGTTTAGTTTAATTAAGTCCTATCTATTTATCTTTGGTTTTGTTGCGTTTGCCTTTGGTTTCGTGGTCATGAAGACTATGCATAAGCTGGTGTCTAGAAGAGTTTTTCTAACCTTATCTTCTGGAATTTTCATGGTTTCAGGCACTTCTCACTCAAATCTGAAACTTGGAAGTCAATTTAGATTTCTTCTGACTTCTTAATACTAATACTCAAAATGTTACTACCTCTTGGCAATATTCATTATCTGAAATGACTGGTATGTCCCCATTCTACTTCATCTTGACAATGATGTTCTTAATTGAGGCGCTTATCCCGTCTTCAGTGAACTACCTAACTACCTCCTACCTGGTTTGGTGCCTTGAGATCTCTCTACTTCATCTTCTACATTGATGAGAAAGTCTTATTTCTCTTCTTTTTTTCCCTTTTGTTTTAGACATAGTCTCACTCTGTCTCCCAGGCTGGAGTACAGTGGTGCAATCAAGACTCACTGTAGCTTCTCCCACCCAGGTTCAAGAGATTCTCCTGTCTCAGCCTCCTGAGTAGCTGGGATTACAGGTGCCTGCCACCATACCTGGCTAATTTTTGTATTTTAGTAGAGATGGGTTTTACCATGTTGGCCAAGCTGGTCTCGAAATCCTGACCTCAAGTGATCCGCCTGCCTTGGCCTCAAAAAGTACTGGGATTATAGCCATAAGCCACCGCGCCCAGCCAAGAAGGCCCTATTTCTAAGCCACTATTAAATTATGCTTCTTAAAATTCTTCACTGGGTCCTGATCCCATCTCTGAGCTCTTTAGGATGATAAAACTCTTTCCAATCCGCCCCTGCCTGTCTTCACTGACTCATCAGCTGTGCCCTGGACGCCATGTTTGTCTGCCATCCCCACTTGGTGTACCCGCCTTGAGGGTGTGGTGTTTTCAGGACCTGGGCCAGTGCCTGGGACAACCGGCCCTCAACCAATGCCTGTTGTTGGCTGGTAGCTGAGATTCATTAGCGCATGATGCTAGTGAACCATATGGCTGGTGCTCCAATCCACTGTGAAAATCATTCAAGTTCAAGGCTTCACTGTAAAATGAATTCATGTCGTACTTAATCATTCCTGTGAATTTACATTCTGAATCATGAGCTCAATTAGAAAGAGACATAACTGTTAAACACCGCATGTAACTCAGAGGACAATGGCAGCACAGGAGAGCAGGTCTGCGAGTAGCCAAATAAATGTGTTGACATTAACATTTAAACCAAATTATGATCCAGTTTGCAGCAGATTCAGCTTTCTGATTGAAATTTCTGGGTTGTGGAGCCTCTAGCCTAGTATCCATCCAGCCACATTCTCCGTAATTCTTTGACAGAAAGAGAGTTACAAAAGGGCCATACTCGTATTGAAGGCTTCCAGGTTAAAGAGAACTTTTGAAGGAGTTTGCAGTAAATTTTGTTTCCTCCTAGTCATGCATGAGCTGAAAGCACTGACTGGGCAGAGTCTGAGAGGAATGTATTTGAGTTGTAGTATGTGTCTTTGAGAACAGATAATTAGCTTTCCAAAAAGAGGGCCTGGCAACGCCAGTCCCGTCAAATTAAAGAACTGAAGCACTAGAAATTGATGTTTTCAGAGCAAGATCTTTAATTACTTAAAGCTTGTAGAAAAAAGATAGATTCAAAAAGTAGAGGTACATATATCTCCTGTAAAACACGATTTGGAAAGTAGGTATCTCAGAAAAAAAAAAAAAACGTCTAGTATGAAAAACATCAGGGGTACGACCCAGGGGAGTCATTTGTTGGCATTTAGGTAGCTTCAAGGAGAGTGACTCTTGCCATTTTTATGACTAAGAGGAAATCTGTGAATCAAACTGAAGAAATTTCCCTTTTCTACTAGTCCAGAATAACTAAAAACAAGCTCAGGGTTAGAATTAAAAAGCAGAACTGAAATTGATGGCAAAGCTAGAACTACATGCCCAAACTATTTGATTTATACATAGGTTACGTCTCAAGATTATCTTGTCTGTTTAATATCCTAGTGTGCCTGAGGACACAATAAGGGAGAAATAATGAGGACTGAGAGGAAGGAAACCCTGATCTACACAGCAGGAACTTTTGATGTGAGTGGGTCCTGGCAGGAAGTTATCCAACAGAACGATGTTATGTGGCAGACCTTTGGGTTGAGGGGTGCATTTTATCATAGGGCTAATAACATGACTCAGGCTGAGCAAATTAAACAACTTGGCTAACATTAAAATAGAAAACAGGCAAAGCTCAATTGCCACCAGTGATGGCTCTAGACACTGGAAACGCCCGTAGTCTCTGAATGTACACTGAGCTCAGCAAGTGGAGACAGAGGTCAGTAAGACATTAATGGGCAATGTCACTCCATAAAACTTGTGTGCTGTATTTGCTTTGCTGCTTTCAGTAGTATACAGAAAAGGCCTGCCTCTCCTCTCCAGTGGCACACAGTACTCCTTTTGTTGGTCAAAACTATTTTTTCTGTTCATTAAGATAAATCCGTATGCACATTATTACTTTAAGCCATAATTAACGCCCCTGAGATACATGTTATTACCCTCATGCTAGAGATGAGGCTTATACAGCCAGTCAACTGTGGACTTGGCATTTGTAGCCAGGGAGTTTGACCTCAAAATGTGTGCTTATTAGCACTCTGTTATGCTGTGGGACAAGATAATGCTGTGATACTTAGAGTATAAAGAATCCATGTTAAATTTGCAGCCGTTTAAGTGTGAGTGAGGGAGAGGTGTACATATGTTTGTGTATTTGGGTGCCTTACCTCTCCCCAAAGGTCTCTGTGTTTGTTGCTGTTGACTCTTGCACAATTCACCTTCTCTTTGGGGCAAAGCTCCTTAATGAGAATGGGCTTTTGCACTGGCTGATAGAAATGTTCTGCAGCTAGATAGAGGTGGTGATGGTCGCCCAACACTGTGAATGTACTGTGTGATGGAATTAGTTTTCTACTTTAAATTGGTTAATTTTATATTATACAAATTTTGCCTCAACTATTTTTTTTTTTTTTTTGGGAGGGGACTGAGCCTGACGAGGCTGCAGAGCTGCGAGGCCCCGCCGCCCCCCAACTATTTTTTTAAATCATGCCTGATCTTAATTCTTTTAGGATAGTTATCCCCAACTAACACAAGCGAGCAAAGGATGGCCATTACATTTATTAAAAAGAAAGAACGCTCTGATTTTGGATGCTAGTACAATAAAGGTTTTAAGATACGTTTTAGAAGTTGGACATGGTGGTGTGTGCCCATAGTCTCAGCTACTTGGGAGGCAGAGGATGGAGGATCATGTGAGCCAGGAGTTCCAGGCTGTAGTGTGCTATGATGGTGCCGGTCAATAGCCACTGCACTGGGCAACATAGTGAGGTCCTGTATCTTTTTTTTTTTTCCTTTAAAAAGATATGTCTTAAAGTATATACCTGCAATTTAGGAGAAAAATAAGAATATAAACTTGTTTTTAACATGTGTATTCATTTTAACTAATTGTAATTTTATTGTTTTTCCTCCCCTCGATTTATTTATTTATTTTTATTTCAATAGGTTTTTGGGGAACAAGTGATGTCTGGTTACATGGATAAGCTCTTTAGTGGTGATTTCTGAGGTTTTGGTGCACCCACCACCAGAGCACTGTACACTATACCCAATGTGTAGTCTTTTATCCCTCTCTACCCTCCCACCCCCATCCCCAAACTCCACTGTATCATTCTTATGCCTTTGTGTCCTCATAGCTTAGCTCCCGCTAACAAGTGAAAAAATATGTCTGGTTTTCCATTCTTGGGTTACTTCACTTAGAATAATGGTCTCCAACTCCAACCAGGTTGTTGTGAATGCCATTATTTTGTTCATTTTTATATACATTCCATGGTATATACAAATATACCACAAAAAATGTGTATTTCTTCACTCAAATATCATTAGTATTGAGTTTTAGCATCTGTATCTATTTCATTATTTTTTTTACCCTCGTCACAATCTTTAATATCTTCATGTTTATTTTTACTCTTTATTTTTGTTAGTAATTATCTTCTAAAGTTTTCACCCACTGATTTAAAATATAGTTCTTAACTCTTTATTCTTTCATTACAGAACAAATGGAAACTGCAGTTAACTCTATTTTAACAGTAACTTCTGGATTTATGCTATCTTATTTCAATAACAAAATATTTTAATCCTGGAAATCTTTTATTTTTTCAATGCAAGTTAGGTAAGGAATAACTTATTTAATTTTATTTTATTTTTGGTAGAGAGAGAGTTTCGCTATGTTACTTAGGCTGGTCTTGATTTCCTGGCCTGGAGCAATTCTCCTACCTCTGCCTCTGTAACCTCAAAGTGCTGGGATTACAGGCATGCACCACCATGCCCAGCCAAGGTATTTTCTTTTATTTTTTCTTTTTGAGGCGGAGTTTTGTTCTTGTTGCCCAGGCTGGAGTAAAATGGTGCAATCTTGGCTCACTGCAACCACCACCTCCTGGGTTCAAGACATTCTCCTGCCTCAGTCTCCTGAGTAGCTGGGATTACAGGTGCTGCCACCATGTCCGGCTAATTTTTTTTTTTTTTTTTTTTTTTTAGTAGAGACTCGGTTTCACCATGTTGGCCAGGCTGGTCTTGAACTCCTGACCTCAGATGATCTGCCTGCCTTGGCCTCCCAAAGTGCTGGGATTAGAGGCATGAGCCACAGCACCCAGCCCAAGGTATTACCTTAATTAGATATCTATACTAATTTAGAATCTTCATCTTCTCATAATGCTTACTGCGTTGTTTTTGTCTTCATACTGGTTACTGCTGCATAATGTAATTTCACAATTCATTCAGAAAATTCTGAGATTTGAAATTGCCAAAAATTACACATAAATATCTGAACAACAATATTACATTAAGTTAAAAAATAAAGACATAAACACCTATCTTTCAGTGGGTTACAAAAGAGTTACCAACCATGCAGTTATGCTTCTCTGCAAAGAGACTGGGTAAACCCCAGATTTCTATTTGGGAAGCAAACAAGCCCCTATCTCATTGGCATTTCAAGGAAGTTAAACTAGTCTATGTGCACCATTAGTAACTAGCAACCACTGAAGTGCAACAAATAAACATTTACTACTATAATTATAATGTATGAAATGGGTTACACAATTTTAAAGTTACACATCACTTATACTATTACTAAAAAAATTGCAGTTAGGTTATTGAATTGACTAGTGCTCCAGTAACAAATCTAGAATAAAACAAATTCAAATAGGCCGTTATACAGAAGCTCATATTAAATGCAAAATGGAATAAGTCACAAGAGAAATGATGCCTATGTAACATTACCTATGGTAAGGAGTGCTTGGTTCATCTATTTTCATTAAACCATAGTCTTTGTCTGCTGGATGATATGTCGCCAAGATGTTCATTTCATCCCACTTCTGGGATTTTTTGCTAAAATTAAAAAGAAAAAACATTTTTCCCAATGTGGAAAAAAGAAAACTTGACATCAAAATTCACAAATGTCCAAATTTCACATTTCAACTTCTATTTGATGGCTAACCTCTATTTTCCCATGTAATTTCTTGGAATAGAAGCTGACTCAGGGTAAAAACCATCAAGAAACTACAATAAAATGTCAGTAAATGCAGAACAATTAGTGACCACATATTTTAAACATGGTATTTAGTATCTATATCAGGCATTCAAAACACTACTATATTTGGCCTATAGAATTAATAATGCAAATCAAAATCCATACATTCCCTGATGTCAACAGGCATTTTTCATCTATATACCAGTAACCGGTAAAAAACACAACAGGAATATTTCCTTGACATAATTTGTTTCTGGGATATCTGTTAATTAAAACATAAAGATTCAAAGCATAAAACTACAAAGAAAACTTCATCAAACTCAGATAACACTAAATCATTAGATTGCAAATAAATTACAATTCTGTTTATTTCTAATCTAGAAAAATAAAGGTTTGCTCAGACATAGTGTACTCAGATTTACTTGCAAGGCAATAGAAGTTCTCTATAAGTATTTTATTTATTAATTATTATTTTGAGACAGAGTCTCACTCTATTATTATTATTTTTTAGACAGAGTTTCACTGTGTTGCCCAGGCTGGAGTGCAGTGGCATGATCTTGGCTCACTGCAACCTCCACTTCCTGGGTTCAAGTACTTCTTCTGCCTCAGCTCCTGAGTAGCTGGGATTACAGGCGCATACTATCACATCTAGCTAATTTTTGTATTTTTAGTAGAGATGGGGTTTCTTCATGTTGGCAAGGCTGGTCTTGAACTCCTGACCTCGTCATCCGCCCACCTTGGTCTCCCAAAGTGCTGAGATTACAGGTGTGAGCCACCAGGCATGGCCATTATTTTTGTTTTCTGAGACAGAGTTTTGCTCTTGTCACCCAGGCTGGAGTGCAACCACGCAATCTTGGCTCACCCGCAACCTCCAATCCCTGGGTTCAAGCAATTCTCCTGCCTCAGTCTCCCCAGTAGCTGGGATTACAGGCGCTTGACACCATGCCCTGCTAATTTTTGTAATTTTAGTAGAGACGGGGGTTTCACCATGTTGGTAAGGCTGGTCTCAAACTCCTGACCTTATGTGATCTGCCCGTCTCCGCCTCCCAGAGCGCTGGGACTACAGGCGTGAGCTACCGTGCCTGCCCTATAAGTACTTTGGAAACAACTGTTAAATTTCATTCCATGAAGTATTTGCACAACTATTAAGGTGCTCAATAATTAAATGTTTTAATTTTAAATTCTTATATACTCATTAAAAAAGACCTCAGACCCTTCCACAAGCCAACATTATTTTGTTGCCTATACAGTTTGTTACTTAGTATATATACTTGGAAAAAACCTGCTTTAAAAAGAATCAATGTAAATGTTACACTGATTTAAATCATCCTTTCTACATTTGGTCTAAACTGGTGGTTTCACTGTAGGTATTTTCAATTTCTCAGATCCTGAAATATCCTTTAGGAATAACATACTTAACATTTCAGTATCATATTCCCTTCTCTATACTCTCAAAAAAAGTTTGATGAGTTACCTTAAAAATTACACAGGCCTACTCTGGGCAGGTGACTTCATATTCTTTTGCTTTCTACCCTAACATACCCACAGTGTTCCCATTTCAGATTAAGCATTTTTTTATTTTTTAAAATTGTGGTCATACATAAAATTCACCATTTTAACCTTTTTGTTTTTATGTCAATCATTTCTGTATCATTACAATTTTAGTGTATGTGCTGCTGCAGCACTAGTCATTATGAAGTGTACAATTCTATGGAGTTAAGAACATTCACATCATTGTGCAAGCATCACCACTATCCATCTCCAGAACTTTTTCATCTTCCTCAACTGAAACTGTACTCATTAAGTACTAACTCCCCACTGTCCCCAGCCCCCAGACCTGGCAACCACCATTCTACTTTCTGTCTCTCTAAATGTGACTACTCTAGGTACCTCACATAAACAAAGTATTTGTTCTTTTGTAACTGGCTTATTTCACTAAGCATAATGTCTTCAAGGTTCATTCATGTTGTAGCATGTGTCAGAATTTCTCTCTTTAATTAAATAGACTGGGTCTCAACTCTGTCACCCCAAGTTGGGGTAAAGTGGCATAATCATAGCTCACTGCAGCCTCGAACTCCTGGGCTTAAGTGATCTGGCTGCATCTGAGCTCACCTGAGCAGCTGGGGCTGTAGGTGCAAGCCACATGCCTGGCAGTAAACTGTCTTTTAAAGTTGTTTTGATTCTGGACAATGTCTCTCTCTGGTCACCTAGAGCTCTATGAACCCTATGATTTCAACATGGAAGGTGTCAAGGTGGTTTACCTGTCCCCAAACACAACATCTCTAATTTAACTTCTAGATCAGGAGGTCACAGAGGACCTTTAAGACTCAGTACACACGGTAGTCTATTCAGTGGTACCCAAACTTTTTGGCACTAAGGAGCAGTTTTGTGGAAGACAATTTTTGCATGGCAGGGTGGTTTCAGATTGAAACTGTTCCACCTCAGATCATCAGGCATTAGATTTTCATACGGAGTTGGCAGCCTAGATCCCTTACATGCACAGTTCACAATACAGTTTGTGCTCCTATGAGAATCTAATGCCACCATTGATCTGACAGGAGGCGGAGCTCAGGCACCTGCCACATGGCCTGAGGTTTGGGGATCCCTGCTCTATGGAAACGACTGCCAACCCTCACAAAGAACATCATGAAAGTCTGGAAGGATTACACCACCGCATATGCCATTGTTGTTACAGAAAAAGCTATGAAAGCTGTCAAGCCTGAAACAATGAATTCCTGCTGGAGAAAACTGTAACCAGATGTTATGAATGACTCCACAAGATTTAAGACAGGGCCAATTAAGGAAATAATGAGATTGTGAATTATTTGGTGGGGTAAAGGGTTTCTAGATATGGATCTTGAAATTCAAGAGCTAACTGACATCACACCAGAGGAATTGACAGATGACTTGATAGAGATGAGTGTTCTGAATCAGTACCAGATGATAAGGAATAATATGCAGAAGAAGCAAAACCAGGAAACAAATTGACATTAGACAGTTCAACAAAGAGTTCTGACTATTTGAGAATGCTTTACTTATTTTACACAGGGACCCTTTTATGATGTGGACACTGAAACTAAACAGTAGAAGGAAGATTATTAGTACCACACAGAAACATTTTAAGAGAAATGAAAAGCACAAAAGTTATGCAGAAATTATGATGCATTTTCAAAAAGCTACACCAAGTGAGGCTGCCTCTCCTTCCATTTCCTCTAACACCCCTGAGACAGTGCGACCAATCCCTCTTCTTCCTCCTTAGCCTATTCACTGTGAAGACCACCAGGATAAAGATCTTTATGATGATCCTCTTCCACTTACTGAACAGTAAATGTATTTTCCTTATGACTTTCTTGACATTTTATTTTCTCTAGCTTACTGTACTCTAAGAATACAGTAACAGCACATAATACAAAACATGTAGTTAATCAATTGTATATGTTATCTGTAAGGTTTCCAGTCAACAGGAGGCTACTAGTAGTTAAGCTTTGGGGAGGCTGGGCACAGTGGCTCATGCCTATAAATCCCAACACTTTGGGAGGCCAAGATGGGAGGATCACTTGAGCCCAGGAGTTTGAGATCGACTTGGGCAACACAGGGAGACCATGTCTCTTAAAAAAAA